AGTTTATACTGTGTTTTGTTTCAATTAATGTATAAATTAGTTACAAATATGTGATATATCTGAACAACAAAGTGGTCAAAAATTGTTTTATTCATTTATTGGAAACATTTTCATGATCGCTTTTTTCGTTTATACATTTTAAGAATGGCGTTTATCTTTTTTGAGAATGAGTTCTTATTTTATTTTATTTATTTGGGTCTACAACAGATGATACAAATGTATATGTCAGTAAATGTGTACTAACAGAGGCGGGGGTGTGTGTGAAAACAACGAGGACAGAGCTGCTGTCAGACATCAGCTGTGCGGTGTCATCACAAACGGACGTCGCTTCACGTGACGCTCCGGAGGAAAGGACGTCCCATAGAGTGGCGAAGTCACGCCCATCTACTTCCAGTCCATGGTACCTTATTTCGGAAAAATTATGTATTGAAGTCAATGGAGAGAGAAAACTTATCTTTCGATCCCGTTTGAATTGTGCCATGAATTACACATATGATGTTTGTCAATCTTAAAAAATCATTTCCATGTCAAAAAAGTCACAGTTTGTCGTAAAACTGTTGAAATATAAGACTATGAAAAATACGCAACTAGAAAGACTACAAATCCCAGAGTCGCGTAAGTGATGTCACTCATAACTGATGTCACAATTGTTTTCCTCCACTAAAATAGAGATAGCTAAGATAAGATAACTTTAACAAGATGCCTGTGTGCTTAGTACCAGGTTGTTATCATACCAGCAATGGGTCTTGCTCGTTCTTTCGCTTCCTGTCTGATGAAAGGACCAGGAGTGGCTGGATCAAGTTAGCTACCTAGCTAGTAGCAAGCACGTTAGTTAGCATTACAGCCGGCTTAGCCTTGTCATTTTTATTAGCCTTAACATGAAGTAACATTAAGTAACCCAAAATGTTAAACAGTAAGAGTAGTAGTCATATTTCGTGAACCCTTTGAAGAGTACTGTCACACCGGTGTGATCATTAAAAAAAAAAAAGTGTCGTAAAACTGTGAAGTAACACATTTTTTTGTGTGAAACGCTCAATGAACTACATCTCTTGCACAACAACACACGTCACCAAGATGGCCGTCACTACTGTCTTGTCAAAAAAGTGATTGACTACCCTCACTATCACCACAATGAAACACGTCCAGAAGAATGTCATGCAAAGCTGCCTGCCTGCCTGCCTTCCTTTGATTCTCTCTGAACTGCCTGATCTTTTTAATGTTTAATGTCAACCATTTGTGCAGATAGCATGAAGTAGAAAAGATCGCTGAAGCTAATGTAGCGTTAGCGTTAGCATTTCTCCCCCGGGCTTAAATGGTGTATTATAGAATGATCACACCGGTGTGACAGTACTCTTCAAAGGGTTCACGAAATATGACTACTACTCTTACTGTTTAACATTTTGGGTTACTTAATGTTACTTTATGTTAAGGCTAATAAAAATGACAAGGCTAAGCCGGCTGTAATGCTAACTAACGTGCTTGCTACTAGCTAGGTAGCTAACTTGATCCAGCCACTCCTGGTCCTTTCATCAGACGGAAAGCAAAAGAACGAGCAAGACCAATTGCTGGTATGATAACAACCTGGTACTAAGCACACAGGCATCTTGTTAAAGTTATCTTATCTTAGCTATCTCTATTCTAGTGGAGGAAAACAATTGTGACATCAGTTATGAGTGACATCACTTACGCGACTCTGGGATTTGTAGTCTTTCTAGTTGCGTATTTTTCATAGTCTTATATTTCAACAGTTTTACGACAAACTGTGACTTTTTTGACATGGAAATGATTTTTTAAGATTGACAAACATCATATGTGTAATTCATGGCACAATTCAAACGGGATCGAAAGATAAGTTTTCTCTCTCCATTGACTTCAATACATAATTTTTCCGAAATAAGGTCCCATGGACAGGAAGTAGATGGGCGTGACTTCGCCACTCTATACATATTTTTTCCGAAATAAGGTCCCATGGAGGTCCACCGGAAGGGGAGGGACTTCTCCACTCTATTGCTCTTAAAACTAATTTCCCTGCTTCTCGTGGTTTCCTTGCGTCTCTCCATGCTTCCCTGGTGGGAGGGACTAAACGCAGGGAAACGACGCAAGTGAGGGACGCAAGGATTCCATTTAATCGACCTGAGAAGTAGCCTTTGTCTCACTGTATCGCCGACCCGGAAGCCTGTCCACTCCTCGCAGCAGCGAGCCTCGCAACGTCCCGACCAATCAGAGCACACTGGGCTCACAGGGAGGGGGGGGCAGGAGCTCCAACAAGCCGTTTAGGACAGAGAGCGAATACCTGGGGCCTCATTTATAAAGCCTTGCGTAGGATTGGCGTGGGAAGGTTGCTTACGTAGGACAAAGCAAATAAATACGCACCGACACTTTCCGATTCATAAAAGACTGCGTACGACACATCCTACGCCGGTTTCCCTTTATAAATCACAATCAACTCGAAATGCGGCGCAGCTTTTGCGGGCTTCACGTCACGCCCATATTTGCCTATAAATAGTCAAATAAACGCCCATTCATTCATTCATTTTGACTGACTGCATGAAGAAGATTGCAGGAAATGACGACAGAACAGCTAAAAAAGACATCTCACACCGTGTCAGATTTTGGTTATTTTGGGGAGGTCGAGATAAATCATATTGTTTGGTGGATGCAGTTTGAACCAGAGTAGCAGCATGGAGGTCGGATCGTCACCAACATAAATAAATAAGTGGTCAGAAAAAGGTTAATGACAAAGAAAATACACATAGCCTAACCTTCCTCAGGCAGTGTGTTTGTACCGGGGACATGAGACACCCCCTTGATGAGAAACTGTAAGAAATGATCGGGGAATCCCTCCGGAGTGGAGTCATGACGACTGGATCTGAATTATTTTTTTGTATTTGGTGGTTTGTGTTCCAGCTGTCGATCAGCAACAATATATCCATAATCCACCAGTTAAAGGAAATACAACTAATGTGTTGTGTTATATTAGCTGTACAATTTACCACATATGGTGTTCTTAGTTTCCATATCTCCTGTGTTTTACGAGCGACTTATCAAGTAGGCTATTGGCGAACGGCATAACACATGATTAAACATGATAGTATATAAAACCATGCTCGTATCTATACAACCTATAGAAATGCAAAACGGCGTCAGTTTAAAGTAATTCTGTCCTTCTGCTTATCGCATCATTTATGAGAATACATTTCTTAACAAGAGAACATAATCGAGGGGTGATCTATAACATTTCCGTATTTATTTATTTCTCCAAGTTATGTTTTTGTGTGCACTGAGGAGTCTCAAACAGGCGGTTGTTAAATCATTTTAAGATTGGCTTTAATCAATTTGTGAAAATTAATTCTTCATATATGATAAATGAGAGGTAACATTTTATTTATGGTATTATTCCATTCTTCTCTCCCGTTTTTGTGCTTAGTGCGTACGCATGGGTCAGAGTTTGCGTGGAGGACCACACATTTTCCCGTCAAGTTTGTTTTTTATAAATCGCAAACATTGCGTAGAAACTGGCGTACGCCATATTTTGAGCGTACACACCGTTTATAAATGAGGCCCCTGGTGAATACACATACTATACAGAGATGCTGTATGAGAAACCAATGTGATTTTGGAAAATTGCACAATTTAAATCTATTCTAGTAGACCTCAAAAATTGAATTATGATCATTAGAAATGGCCATGACATGGGACCTTTAACCTCTTTTATAATATCCTCTCTTACCATTTCTACTAAGCATTCTAAAATGTCGTTTTGAGTGCCTTTGCTGGTGTACTTTGCATTCTTCACACACTAAGGGATCGTGTTTACTTCATTCAACATCTAAAATCTCCATGTCCCTTAATTTTGGAAGTGTTTGACTCATCATGGCCACGTTGGGAAATGTTTTAGGTAGCTGTCAAAAGTAAAATCTCAGACAAAGTGTTAAATGTACTTTTTATTTTCGGTTACTTCTTTTTTATCTTCATCTCCTATACTCCAAGAATGGTTGTATTTCTCCCGGCAATGCTTTTGTATTCTGTCCATGTAATTATGGCATTTCCATGTGTGTCTGAGCTGGCATGTAAACATGTGTCATACTTTGAAGTTTAAAGTAAGACACATGTTGACTAGTTTTGTTTTTATTTATTCAAATTTGCCATGGATTATAACCGGACAACTGCCAAGAAGCCGTAAAGTAACAGTGCCTCTAGTGGTCTGCTGTTATTTGAATGGATTTTACTATTCAAATACCAACACCACATAGTAAACCTATGGCCAGATAATATCTTATTCTAGTATTAGAGGTTAGTCTGTCATGAAATCATAAGATGCCATATCCGAATTATTATCTTATCACTGACCACTTACATATATTTAATTTCCCTCTAGGCTATACGGTAAAAACTGGTGCAGAATGTGCTTTGGGATATCTGTGTAACTGAGTCAGAATAATGCTGATGGCTCCCCTACAATCTGTGCGACCCGCCCAAACATTGAAGCATGGGCGCGTTCACGTACTGTCAACTGTATCTATCACTTTTGCAGCGTTCAAAAATATTGAGAACAATTTCATTTTTTTGGCAGATGAACAACGCTTGTATAATTGCAGGCTGAGCTTGTAAACATGCATGAGACATACAAGTAGATGCTGATTTGAACCTACATCGTTTTTGTAAATTTGTGATTTGCTATACGTATTACTTGTAGACCCTCATGCAGAAACCCCATCAAAATGTCAAGAAGAGGTAGGATACAAGTATGTGTTCGTGTCTTTTGTTTTAAAACATCGCCCATTTTCCACTCAACGTTTTCCCCAAGATTAACATTACTTATGAAACTTGAAATTAGTTTAGCTGCAGTACAGTATTAGCGCATTGGATTTCGATGGGTTCACTGGTGAAAGTTTGGTGTGAGAGTTACGTTAAAGTGGATTCCTACGCCCCTTGAACGCAGCAGTCGACTGGCTCGCGCAGCCCTCCTCGCTGTCGGTATCGATGAAGTTGTCTCAAAGATGGCGGACTTCCTGCCGTCCCGCTCCCTTTTATCTGTATGTTTTCCCAACTGTGTCCTCACAAGCGGGGAGGCAGAACAATTGCGGAAGTCTAAAGAGATAGATAAGTGTATTCATCGAGATAAGACTTATGTAAAAAGGTTAGTCAAGATTTTATTACTTGGGGCAGGCGAGAGCGGCAAGTCTACTTTCCTGAAGCAGATGCGCATTATCCACGGGCAGGACTTCGATCAGAAGGCCAAAGAAGAGTTCAGAGCCACGGTGTTTAGTAATGTTATAAAAGGTAAGGCTGCAATGGGCACCCATTATATTTGATATGTTGACGCTAGCTTGTTTTGACCTCTGCATGGCCTAATGTAGGGTGTAAAGAGTATAGAGTGGGAAGCTGGTAGCCATGTAGCCTCAGTGAGCGATGGAGGGCTCTCTCTGTTCCACGGTGCTAGCGTGGTTAGCTGCTCCAGAGACCAAGAAACGCCCATGTTATTCTGCTGCTGTGACCGGGGAAGGGATGCGTTCAGGTGGTTAGTGTTTATTTAGAGCTCCCATAAATGAATATTGTCTGTTTCATAGTGTTAAGTCTCAAACAATGGTTTGACATTATCCTTGTGTTTTCCACATGGTTGCTGTTTCAACCGAAACACATCTTTGTCGTGTTTGAAGAACCTGACACTAAATCATTAGGAGAATGTTTCTGTTTACTGTAAACCTGCCTTTCGTTATCTGTGGGTAGCCCTGTCATTCCTGAACCAAGGAACATTATCTGAAAGTTTACTCATTAATACATGAAACATCACCTTTTATCATTCTGAAATGTACGTTATGAACCATGCATCATCTTACAATATTTCTCAATATGTGTTACTGTTTGCAAGTAGTCAGATTGCTGAAATGGAAGCACTTTTTTATGAAGTCTGGTTTCAGTTTATATCGACCTCTTCTGGTTGAGTTTATGAAAAGTGGAACCTTTGTGACCATGGTGTTACAGGTGCAGATTGACAGGTGGGTCCAAAAGTTCCAGAAACACTAGACATGTAGCCTTGCTACAACTCTCCATCAACACTTTGCAGTGTCCTGTGTTGTCTGCTTACAGACTTCATGATGAGCCAATGAAGGTGTCCTTTAATTCCTGTGAGTATTTACCCACAACAATTCACACATGTTGCATCATGGGACAGTTGACTTTTGGTATTAGCCCGAATAACGGTGGAGGGAAATCACAGACAGTCACTAGAGCTGCTGCTAAATTAAGTCAGAGCAACAAAAAATGTCCAAGTACACCCACCTGCCTAAAGTTGTGTGTCTCAGTTTAGATCAGTTGTGATGTTTGACATGTGAATTATTCTGCTATGGAATCTGTTGATTTTGTACCTCAGCCTGTACATTACATTACTGCTCTGTGAACTGCAACATTGTTTAAAGTTTCTTTACATATTTACCAGTTTCTTATCATAATCCACATGAACCATTCATCACATTGGCATAATGCTTGTGTGCCACTCAATTCATAGCCTGTTTGTAACCAGAACGGACACGCTTCATCTTCACCTGCTGCACTCTGTGTCTGCGGTGTTTAGCCCGGCACTAAAACACGAGAGCAGAGAATATTAATGATGATGTAACATTTGAGTGGCAATGCTCATGATTCTGTGTGATTCTGTGCAGTTCTGTGTGCTGCAGAACAAAGGGCTAACCTTTACAAAACATACTAGACTCTGAAGTTTTTCCTATAACATCAAAGTCAGGGCCAACTTTCCAATCTGACATTAAGAGGCTCATTTAACAGTTGCATATTGACCAAATGTCCTGGTGCAGTTTACATTTCCTTAGTATCCACATTTCTGATATAGTTTAGAGGTGTATTCCTTTTAGTGTTTTACACTGTGTGTGTGTGTGTGTGTGTGTGTGTGTGTGTGTGTGTGTGTGTGTGTGTGTGTGTGTGTGTGTGTGTGTGTGTGTGTGTGTGTGTGTGTGTGTGTGTGTGTGTGTGTGTGTGTGTGTGTGTGTGTGTGTGTGTGTGTGTGTGTGTGTGTGTGTGTGTGTGTGTGTGTGTGTGTGTGTGTGTGTGTGTGTGTGTGTGTGTGTGTGTGTGTGTGTGTGTGTGTGTGTGTGTGTGTGTGTGTGTGTGTGTGTGTGTGTGTGTGTGTGTGTGTGTGTGTGTGTGTGTGTTGTAACAGAAGCTTTGTGGCTATACTCAACAACCTTTTTTTGTGTTTGACTTTCTCTGTGATCACTCTTTTTAAATGTCAACATGGCCAATCTCACAGCAGAAAATATGCAGTTTTTCACCCTCAGACATGTAATATCTGAATGATAACTAAATGCTAGATACATCTGTTAAAACTCAAGAATAGGTGATGACAGGGAGCCCACTGACCGTACTTCCTCCACTTTAATCCTGTCTCTCTGACTATAAACTTGAAAAACCTTTGCAGTGTAACATGGTTGTTGGTCCACTTGTGTTCCTGACTACAGATATCAGAGTTGACAGACATTGGTCGCCTTGGCCCTGGCATGGGTTGGTTGGTATCATTCATTACTTATCATAATGTCGCTCGTCTTGGTGATGTTAGTAGATGCATGTCTATATTTATCAGGCACATTCATATTTACTTTGATTTATTTCTGGAAATGTACTTTGAGTCAGCTGCAAGCAGGAAATCTGTTGGTGAAAACATATTGAGTCATCATAAAGATTTGTATGTTGGTGTGGAAACGGTGTCATCAAACACGCAGTTATCTCCATCAGGGTTTATAGACGAAATGCTAGGGCTGCTTGTGTGGCAAACATAATCATGCCTTTTATTATGCTCAATGTTAAGATCACAACTATTTAACACAACTTTGTAACCATCATTCATTTATTGACCTTTTTAAATAAAGGTTTTCTTTCACTTCAAATATAATTCCTACTTGAAATAAAGACTTTACTTCTGTCATATTGGCTTGAGCTAAACTAAACATGATGCCTCAGCGTGGCTGACGGATTGGGCTTCTCCTCTTCGCCTTACCTGCACCCCGTCCCTCCCCACAAAGAGCAAAGGCTCTTGGAAGTAGCAAAAACTGCAACCCAAACACACAAGCAGAAATGAAATATATGAACGTGTTGTTACCAGAGATAAAGGGATCAGCTCTCATCCCAATCTGCATGTACGCATAAATCATCCACCACCAAATACCAGAAGGAATGAAACAAATGAAATGCACTTTTAGAAATGAATGACCTACACTAGCTTTTATTGTCGGACTACGTGCTGTGCTTTTAAATAATAGAATCCCCATATTTGAGTGAACTGTTTTTCTGCCAAATTTTGCAAGAAAAAAGTAATCAACTATCAAACCATTTTTTTGGGACTAATCTATTTTGGATTTTACAACATTAAGTAATTGTGTTACCAGAGACGGACAATTGTGTTTATACTTCCATGATGTTGCAGAGCTTGTGTTGGGGCTGTTAGCCTTACACTCCCTTTGAATAAGTGCAAACGGGGAAGTGGAACGCTGGAAAGGCTTGCTCAGCTTCAGCCAGGGGGAAGTGACTGATGCTCGACGTGGTTAACTGAAAAGGAAACCGTTGGTATCGGTGTCATTTCAGGATAAAAGCTCATTAAGTCAGGGTCCGGGGGAGATTTGTTAACATGCAGGGGAAGTACTGGTGTCTCTTCTGTGACGCACTTTGGACTTTCGTGTGTAACGTTATGTTGCAGTCAAGTTAAATAAAGATACATGCTTTCATTAAATGGAACCCCTTTATTTGTTATGCTGTGGTGACATCACTGGTAATGTTTTGACGGTGACATGATCCTGAAAAACATTAATCTGATCTGATACAAACACTTCTTTCTACCTACTTACAAACGTGTTGCTCTGTGTGTAGTGTGAGGAAAGTTAATGCTGTGCATATACAGAACAGATCAGTGTATAGTTATGTTGTGCTGGTTACAATTCAAGTATCAAAGAAGTTAAGGAAGTTGGTGGTTTTTCTTTTCCTTGTTTGTTTTTCATTCAAACCTTTATTTAACCAGGTGGTGAGATCATCGATCTCTTTTTCAAGGGAGACCTGCCCAACATGGCAGCAAGTAGGTTACAACATGAAACGGAAAACAATAAAGGACATCATATTTACAGGGTTACATTTACATACCTAGCGACATTGGCAAGTACCAACAGTACCAAGTATCATTGCACCTATCCGAGCTTTGAAAACAGGCAGTGTAACCAATTTGCTCAGTTTCAAATCTTTTTGAAGACTGTTCCAAGCAAGAGGAGCTGCGCACATAAAAGCTTTCTTACCTAAGTCAGTCCTTGCACTCGGCACATGTAACAAAACCACATCATGTGATCTCAGGCAATAGCTACCTGCAACTCTCTGTGTGATCAGAGAGCAGATGTAAGATGGGAGTTTACCCAGCATGGCTTTGTAGATGAACATGTACCAATGACTGAGCCTCCGTACAGTGAGTGAAGGCAGACTTGCCCTGGCATACAGGGTAGTAGGGCTGTGCAATTAATCGTATTTTAATCGCAATTACGATTTTGGCCTGCCACAATTACGAAAACAACATAATCGAATAAAACAATTATTTTGCTTTGCTAGGTTGTGAAACTGCAACATATTTGATCTAATTTATTTTGGTCTAATTTATTTGTATTTATCATATTTATATATGTTTAGTAGCTTGTGGAAGTGCGCTCCAAAATATTTGTTGATCTTGTTTATTGGTATTTATTATTTCGATATTATTTATTTAAAGTTTTTCAGTTGAATTATACGTTCAGGGTAATCAACAGTTAAAAGATACTGTTCAAATTATTATTTGTATTTGTTTTAAAGTTCAATAAATGGATGTTTTCAAAGTCAATGAATAATCGTATTTAATAATCGTGATATCAATTATTGACCAAAGTAATCGTGATTATGATTTTTGCCATAATCGCACAGCCCTACAGGGTAGGGATCGACCGATATGGCTTTTTCAAGGCCGATACCGATACCGATTATTAGTAATCAAGGAGACCGATAACCGATATTTGGAACCGATATACATTTGCAGTAAAATCAGAAAATCTTGGTGTCAACATGTAGAATAACACAAACTCCAACACAACTTCTTTGAAATGCATTTAAGCATATATTATGTTTAATGAACTTTTAAACATCTTACAACTGGTTTCCTCTCTGTGCCCTTTTCTTTAGTGCAGCCATCTGCAATGAGTTAGAGAGAGACAGAGAGTTAACAGTGGGGCTGCATGCTGACATGCTTAACTAACAATAATGCTTAATTT